TTTAATTTCTAGTTTTATTCCACTGAGGTCTGAGAAGGTGCTAGATATGATTTCAATTTTTTTGAGTTTCTTGAGACTTAATTTATGGCTTATCATACAGTCTATGTTGGAGAATGTTCCATGTGCTGAATAGAAAAATGTATATTCTATAGTTTTGGGATGGAATGTTCTGTAGATGTCTGTTAGCTCCATTTGCTCTAGAGACCTGTTTAACTCCCATGTTACTTTGTTGACTTTCAGCCTTGGTGATCTGTCTATTGTTGTCAGAGGAGTGTTGACATCTCCCACTATTATTGTACTGTTGTCTATCTCTTTTCTTAGGTCGAGTAGAATTTGTTTTGTAAAGCTAGGGTTCTGGTGGTAGGCTTATATACATTTAGAACTGTTATTTTGTCTTATTGAATTGATAACTTTACCATTTTATAATAATCTTTTTTTTTTTATTGATGTTCGTTTAAAGCTTATCTGGTATAAGAATGGCTACTCTTGCTCACTAACTTTGCATAGTTGCATGAAATAGTTTTCCTCACCCTTTTACCTTGAGTCTATAGGAACTTTTGTGCATTAAGTGGATCTCTTGAAGGCAGCAGAAATTTGGGTGTGTATTGTTATTCATTCTGCCCTGCCGGTCTATATATTTTTAGTGGGACATTGATACCACTTATGTTCAGAGTTAATAATGACATGTAAGTTACTATTCTATTCATCATACTGGCTGTTATCTGCTTGTTTTCTCTATTTTGTGTTGGTGTTTTATAAACTTGTGAAACTTTGCAGTTTCCAGTGTTTTCCTACTAGTGAGTTGGAACATTTTGTTTCAGTATTTAGAACTCCTTTGAGTATTTGTTATAGAGCTGATCTAGTGGTGACAAATTTCATCAACATTTGTTTGTCTTCAAAGGACTTAGTTTCTCCTTCATTTATGAAACTTAGTTCTGTGGGATACAAAATCCTTGGCTGACTGTTTGTTATTCTGTTCATGGAGATTGACAATGGGGTCCCAATCCCTCCTGGCTTGCAGGGTTTCTTCTGAGAAGTCTGCTGTTAGTCTGATAGGTTTTCCTTTGTAAGTTGTTTGATGCTTTTGTCTCACTGCTCCTAAAATTCTTTCCTTCACATTAACTTTGCATAGTTGAATGATTATATGCCTTGGGGATGACCTTTTGGGCAATGAATCTTCTGGGGGTTCTGTGGGTTTTTTGTATCTGGATGTTTAGATCCCTGGCAAGGCCAGGGAATTTTTCTTCCATTATGCCCTCAAAAAGTTTTCCAAACCTGTTGCTTTCTCTTCTTCCTCAGAAACACCTATGATTCCTAGGTTTGTATGTTTTACATAATCCCACATTTATTGGAGACTTTATTCTGTTCTCTTGATTCTTTTTTCTTTGTTGTTGTCTGGGATAATTCAAAAGCCTTGTCTTCAAGTTCTGAGATCCTTTCTTCTGCTTGTTCTAGCCTACTGTTAAAACTTTCCACTACATTTTGTACTTCCCTAACTACTTATTTTATTTTCAGAATTTCAGCTTGTAGTTTTTGAAGGTGTTGTAAGAAGGAACAAAGAGAACAAAGAAAAAAGTATAAGGAGGAAAAGCAGGAATAGCTCTAACCTTGAGGCAGGCATTACTCCTTTCCTGGAAACTCTCTGCAGACATTATGCAATTAATTGTACCCTTATCTGCTGCACCTGCATAACCAGCTACATCTGCTTCTGTAAACTTGCTTGCTTGCCCATGCCTCGAGAATGTTGCCATAAGAGCCCTGGGAAGTCCCAAGTTCTATCTTTAGCCCACCAGGATGTAAATCTAAACTACATAAAACAGCCCTGTGTTGCAGCTCGCAGCCCTTGCCTTGGAACTTGTGCTTCTAGCAAGTGGTCACTGGCCAGCAGAGCCTTGACTAATAAACCTCTCCTTTGTTCATTTGAGTCGGTGGGCTGCCATTTAATCACTCGGTCCCTACTTCAGTGTCTACCTCTTTGGAGAATTTTTCACTCATGTCTTGAGTAGTATTTTTTTAATGTCTTATGTTGATTTTCAGTTTTCTCCCAAAGCTCATTGATCAATTTTGTAATCAACTTTTTGAATTTTATGTCTAGAATTTCAAAGTTTTCATTTTGGTTAGGGTTCATTGGTGTGGTCTTTTGGGGATGTTGGAGAACTCTGTTTTTTCATACTGTCAGAATTATTTTTCTGGTTCTTTCTCATTTGGGTAGACAATTCTTTTTATTTGAGATTGGGAGGGAGCTGACATAGGCACTCTAGGGTTCCTTTGGTTATATAAAGTCTTAGTGTGGTGAGTTTCTCGATTGCCAGATGTGGCAGCCCTGTACTGTGTACCTGTACTGGCTCATAGCATCCTAAATGACCACAGTGGCTTGGGAAGTGTTGTTAGCTGGCACTTGGGATCAGGCCTTCCCCAAAGTTGAGGTATTCTATCTGATGTAGTGGACTATACTGTTGACCTCTGACCAGGAGGTGGCCCTTGTGGAAGAAAGCCAGCTATGATGGTGTCTATAGAGTTTCTCCTTGGCATGTGTAGCTCCAAGGGATGCCCAGCCAGCCTGAGCTGAGGTTGGATTTCTGCGGATTTCCCAAGTTCTCTGTCTGTTTTGAGACTTGGAGTGAATGCAGGGGAAAGGACCTGAAGCACTCCACAAGTGTGCCCTCTTAGCTGCCCCAGTGGGGATTAGAAGGGAGTCCCAGGCCATTGGAGTAATGCTGGTGTGTGAGCAGGCCCAGAAAAGTTTGCATGGAAAGTGAGGTTGCTATGGCAATGCATCCCACCTGGCTCCCACCTTGGTCTCAGGTGATCTGCATGTCAAGGTGTAGCTGGCCTCAGGGGCTCAGGTGTTCTCAGGCAACCCCTACAACCAGGGACTGTCTGTGGCCTTGGAGTCTTCCCTTGGGACCTGTTGCCTCCCAAGCCAGCTGGAAAGCAGCCACTCCACCTTGCAAAGGTTGATTTCTTGGCGAATGGCAACTGGTGCCGCTCAAGATTTTTTTTCCTGCACCGCTCCATGGCAGAGCATGGCTGTGAGAAAGGCAGTTTCCTGAGAGGGTCTGGGGTCCCACAAGGTTCAGGGAGTCCTGCAAGTTCACAACAGGAGCACAGAACTCCTGATTTCACCTCACCCACCTTCTGCACCGCATCCAGAGACTGTGGTGGACTGTGATGGTGCAGGCAAGAGTCCAGCCAGTTCCAGCCCAGGTTGGTGGATTTTTTCTTCTTTGCTCTAAGTGGTTTTTATCATTCCTTTGACAACTCTTAGGGTGTGCTGCTAGATATGTTCCTCTCTGGGTGCTGAGGAAACTCTCTATCTTGATTTACTCTGTAGGGGAAATTTGCTCTAGCTGCTTCGTGTCATCCATCTTAATCCTCTCCCTCCACAGTGCAGTAGCTAAGAATGGAGACTCTGGGAGCAAACCACCCAGCTCAAGTGCCTGTTCTCCCATTTACTACCTGTCTGACCTTGACAAGTTACCCTTTCTATACCTCCATTTCTTTGTCTGCAAAATGAGATAAGAGTACCTAGGCCAGTCTCGGTGGCTCAGCCTGTCATCCCAGCACTTTGGGAGGCCAAGAGTGGATTGCCTGAGCCTGCAGGTTCAAGACCAGCCTGGACAACTTGGCTAGACCTAGTCTCTACAATAAAAAATAAAAAATAATTAGCCGGGTGTGGTAGCATGCGCCTATATTTCCAGCTGCCTGGAAGGCTGAGGCAGAAGGATCACCAGAGTCCAGAAGGTCAATGCTGGGGTGGCTGTGAATGTGCCACCACACTCCAGCCTGGGTGATGGAGTGAGACTCTGACTCGAAAAAAAAAAGAAAGAAAAGGGAAAAAATAGAGTGCCTACTACCTATGGTTGTTTGAAGATTAAGTGAGATAATATACGTAAAAGCCCAGAAAATGGCACCTAAAAAGTGCTAACTCAGCTGCCACCATCATCTTTGATCCCCCCTGTTATCTTAAAATAAAGCTAAATTGCGGTACCACTGGTGAGGTGGGAAAAAGGCAATACCAAAGAGTGTATTTGCAAAGCTGTACAAAACTACACAGTATGTGGGACAGGATGGGGAAATGCCCTGGGACCCCGTTTGCACAGCCTGTCCTCCTCCCTACTCTCATGTATAGGGAAAGGGAGAAGGCTTTCCTCTCCAGTCATAGCTCAATGTCCTGGCAACTGTGACTGCTGGCTCTGAACGCCACTTCTGCCTCCCGCTAACAAAGACTTCATTTCCTTCTTGCATCTTGCAACACACTTAGAATCCCAAACCCCCAAGTGTGGACAACTTCAGCTATGGTCTGAATGCTGTATATCTGCCCCCAACCCCAGCAAGTTCACACGCTAACCCCCAATGGTATACTATTAAGAGATAGGGCTTTTGGGAGGTGTTGGGTCAGGAGGGTTTCACCTTTGTGAGTAGGATTAGTGCCTCATAAAAAAGACTTGTGGGAGCCCTTTTTCCCTTCTCTTCTGCCATGGCAGGACAGAGCATTTGTCCCTTCTGAGGGACTCAGTAACAAGGTTCCATCTTGGAAGCAGAGAGCAGCCCTCACAAGACACTGAATCTGCTGGTGCCTTGATCTGCCCAGCCTCCAGAACTGGAGTGATAAATTTCTGTTGTTTGCAAATTACGCAGTCTAAGGCATTTTGTTATGTCAGCCTGAATGGACTAAGATAACTTCCTTCTTACCAGGCATCTTGGGAACCGTTAGAAGGTCGGTCCATAGGAAGGAAGATTGAGTGTCTTTTCTCGTCGATTCAGTGCGTTCAACCCGATACACAACAGCCCCCGGAGGGGGTTAAAAAGAAAAGGAAATTGTTCAATGATGCCAAAGGATGGCATGATTCAGCCCACCTCACCCAGCATCTCAGATGCTCAGATGGCGAAAAGGAGGAAGAAAGGGGGCATCTGCCCTCAGATGTGCAAAAGCCAACGTTCAAGAACTTTCTAACCATCCCCCCAAGGACACAATCAGGAAATAAAGAACGGGAGACTTGGAGTCAACGTTTCATTGGTCATGATGATCAAAAGATGATGGCTGACGCACACACACGCGCGCGCACACGCGCACACACACACTCTTCATCCCACCTGCCGCAGGGCGGAAAGGACACCTCGAGGCCCTACAGCCCCTCCGGCTGGGCTCTCCATGGGCCCCACAGCCACCGCCTCACCTGGGACGTCGCCCTTCCCTCTGAACCTCTACTGCCCCAGTGTTCTTCCCTCAAGATGGTGCCCGGACGCTCAGGGTCCAGGCGGAGATGTGAAAAGTGGAGGGCTTGGCCGAGTCTGGGCCGGGCAGGGCTGCGACATCACGAGTTCTCCTCCGTGTCCCTTTCCCAATCTCTCTTCCTCTCTCCCCTTCCCCACCCCATCATTGTTCCCCGGAAACAAATAGGATGGCGTCACTGGTCAATTCTCAACATGTACAAACACCAAAAGCAGAGGAAACGCCCCTTGGCCACCCCCCTCCCCCCAAACCCCAGTGCTGGGAGCAGCCGGCGGGCGAGGCTGCCTCGGGAACACAGAGCTGCTGGAGCTGTCCGGCTGTCCTGGAAACGTCGAGGGCCTCTGGGCTTTACCTGGAGGCCTCTTCCTTCAGCTCCTTGTTTTTTCGCACCTCCTCCGCGTGCTTGTCCTGGGAGGGAAGGCAGGGGAAAAGGCTGGTCACACAAGGCCGCCCAGGGACAAAACGGGAGGCCCAGGGGCAAGAGACCCGAAAGCCGCAGGAAGTAGAGTTGTCTTCCAAAGCGTCCCTGTCCTGAGAGGGGCAGAAGATGGCAGGTGAGGCTGGCAGGAGGCAGGGGGTAAGCCTACCCACGTGGCCCAGGGAGCTCGTGGGCTGGTGCACCCCACCTTCCTGCAGGGGACCCACCTCACTGTGGCCCCGGGGCCCTGGTGGCTTCCTCCCTTCCCTGGCCATTCTGGGGGCGGGGCTGATTTTGTGGCTTCACTTCATATAAGGGACCGCCGGGGGGGTGCGCGCCAGGGGAGCCGGCAGAGCAGACAGACCTCCCCACGAGCTTCCCCGACGGGTCTCCCGCGCCTGCCTGCTGCTTTGATCCCTTGTCCATCTCATTGAGAGTTGCCCCAACCCTCTCGGTGCAAGAGGAGGACCCTCGCAGTACCAACAGACTGAAGAAGCTTTGAAACGTTACCTAACCCCCCAGAGGGGACTCTTACATCTACTCTCAGAGAACCTTCTTGTGTTTCCTCGCATGATCCAGTCCAAAGACAGGCTCTGCCTTCCAAGGTCCACCAGTAAGGAACCCCACCCTGTTCCCCTCTCCAATCAGGCCTCAGCTCTCTGGTATTTCAAGAGAGGCCCATGGGGCCGGACACTCATGCTTATAATCCCAGCACTCGGGGAGGCCAAAGTGGGAGGACTGCTTGAGCCCAGGAGTTCGAGACCAGCCTGGGCAACATAGCAAGACCTCATCTCTAGAAAAAATTAAGCATTTTAAAAAATGAGCCGGGAGTGGAGGCGCACACCTGTGGTCTCAGCGACTACGGAAGCTGAGGTGGAAGAATCCCCTGAGCCCAGGAAGTCGAGGCTGCAGTGAGCCATGATTGTGCCACTACGCTCCAGCCTGGGTGACAGAGTGAGACTCTGACTCAAAAAAAAAAAAAAAAAAAAATAACCGGGCTCGGTGGCTCAGCCTGTAATCCCGCGCCTTTGGGAGGCTGAGGTGAGTGGATTGCCTGAGCCCGTGGGTTGGAGACCCGCCTGGGCAGCGAGACCTCATCTCTACAATCAATCAAAAAATCAGCCGGGCGTGGTAGCGCATGCCTGTAAATCCGGCTACTCG